ATTGTCATCACCCTTGCTGTTAGTTCCTGTGCCCAAGGATTATTTCTTTAAAACAGGTTGTGCAATACTTCTCACCACACCTTTAGAATTCCCCCTTATTTCCATCTCTTTGAGTCTGCCTACATGTATTTCCATTCCCTGCTCCCCCAGATAGACTCATTATCTCTGAAGACTCTATTTGCTGTGTAAGTTGTCATAGATAACGAGCAGGGAACATGTCGTGAGTAGAGCTGGGAACCACATACCCTTAAGGGGAAAAGAGCTCACAAAAGCCACTGCCAGCCCTCAGTAGGTAGGCAGTCAAGAACTAGGAGGATGTTTGGGACAGAGACCTCAGAGGTGAGGCCTTGGAGATTAAGATCATCCAGTGGGGCGGGAGGTCAAATGGCAAAAGTGGCGAAATGCTATCAAGGACTCCCGTGACAGGAGCTGGCTGGTGACCTTAGGGAAGGCACTTCGGGTGGTGGTGGGACCATGGAGGAGAAGGCAGATACTTGGGGGAAAGGATGATGCTTCCAGAAGAGAAAGTGGAGAGGCCAAGAGCACTTGACTAGACAGGAGGATAACTTCCTCTAGAAACAAGCTTGAATTTTGTTTTACAGAAAGAGACAAGATATTGTATGAGTTAGAGTTGGTAGACTAGGAAGGATATTTTAACTTTGTTAAAACTGTGAATCCTCCCACACCCCACACCCCCACACCCCTTTTATATTGTGTGGGTAGTCAGGGAAGAATTTTTGTAGAGACAAAACTTTAGACTTGTGGTTAATAAGTGCTAATTTTTATACAAGTAATACCTGGATTCGTTTTGGAGTTCTGACTAAATTATAGGATCAAAGGCCTAGAGTTAGAAGAAGCTCAAGACAGATGACATAAAGATCAAAAGAAAGACTACAACTGACATACTGGGAACAACACCGTTCTATTTAACTTTATTCTGACAACTGAAAATACTGTGCATAATGGATAGATTCCCAAGGCACATACTTGATTTCTTCCTTGTTTAAGGTGGAAAATAAAAAAGGTTTAAAAGCACTGTTTAATTGTCTGCCATATCATACTCCTGAGAAAATTAAGGCATATGTATCTTCTATCGTGTGTGTGTGTGTGTGTGTGTGTGTGTGTGTGTGTGTGTGTGTGTGTGTGTGTGTGTAGCTTGTGTGGAGGTCAGAGGGCAACTTGCCTTGGCAGCAAGTGTCTGTAACCACTGAGCCATCTTGCCAGCCCACGGATTTAAACATCTTATTACTGGTACTATTACCCTAGCTAAGAACACTGTGTTTAAGTTTGTGGCCTTAGGCTGTAATTATAACATCCCCAGGGGAGATCACTAGGTGTCGTGTAATTATGATGGTATCTGGTCTTTTCAGGGCAAGGAAATTTGTGTCTGAGTATAAACATTAATCTCACATCTGTTTCGCTGGGAGGTTGAAGAATGTCCAGAACAGCTTATTAAATAATTCTAACTTCAGACATAAAGATTGTATTCAGATAAAAGACCTATATAACTCCAGAAAACAAAAGTACCTTCACCCAAATCAAATATCAAGAGGGGGGAGAAAAACCATCCAAAATAAGAAAACAGATCTGTGAAAAAGAGGTGAATGACAAGTGCGGCTTCCTTAGGCTGATCTCAGGGAGGAAGTAATTGTCTAGGGGGAAATCTCAAGTCTTGCTTCCAAAATCCCTCCATCGCATTCACTAAAAACAAAAACAGGCAAAAAAAAACAAAAAAACAAAAAAACAAACTCTGTTCTTTTGTGACTCACCAGAAAAATTGCCCTCCCCTGCCTGCCCGCATATGTATACATATATAATATGTGTGTATACATAATAGACATGAGAACAACTCTCAGTTTTGCTCAGTTTGCTATTGTTTCTGCTTTCTTTTGGTGTGGAGTTGGGGCCCGGGATGTTGCTGATGTGAGGCAAGAGCTCTTGAAGGCTGAACCCTGCTAGTTTAACCAGTCATCTTAGCAAAAGGACCTAGCCCGAGAAGAATTACTTTACTCTCAAACACTTGCCCTGTGCCTTTGGGAACATTCAGAGCAGTTTGTGAAGTGTCTGTAGAGATCTGTGTGTGCAGGTTTACCATTATCAAGTGTGGAATGAAGCGTCTGTTTGGTGGTTATAGGGTGGTGGAGCTCACGTCCAATGTCAGTTATGTACTTGTTAGAGGATAATATGTGTCTAGAGAGAGGAGATCTGTATTAGTTCAATTCTCACTAGTATGTAAGTGTGACTCATCAGGGGATTGAAGGCTATGCAAAAAGCCTATCTACTTCCTGATGATTTTCCTACAAGATCTGGTGCACGACATCTACATCTCTTGTCACTTTTAAAATCAAGTGGAAATTGAGTTTTAAATACCAAGGGAAAAAAAAACATCCTTTGCACCGAGAAAGAATTGACTTCAGGATTCTTCAGAAAGAACTTAGTGAAATTTCACGATTTCTTTGAAGCCTTTCTCGAATGACTGACTTCATTGTCCAAGGCTCCATAGCAGGGCTCTGGAATTCCCCACTGTTGGCCATACTTTAGGATCATAACAGTTTCCAGAATAATTCGTATTGCAGGGTCTCAGCGCCAGGCCAGGGCAGACATGTTGTATAGTTTCTCCTTCTTCACTAACATTTCGGTGGTTTGTGTTTTGATTTAAATCCTGGTTAATGCAGTTGGTTATAGCTGGTCTTGAGAACTTGGCAAGGAACCAGCTGTCTGGCAGGAGACAAGCTCATTGTGGGGAGTGGGGGTATCCCTGTTGACAGTGTGCTCTTTCTGCTTCCTCCTTGCAGTTTGATTTTGTGTAGACACTCACTGCTTGGCTATGGCTTCGCTGTTTCAGATGGTCAGAGATACCCTACAAGGCAGCCAGGGCTGGACGCTTAGAATGGCCCTTGTCTTCAGGAGCTCATCACGGTAATTCACTTCCTTCATCTCTCATAGGTTTGTGGGGAAACTCACCTAATGCTCAGCTGGCCTCTCATTTATCCAGAGATCTTGTCTTTTAGCTTTGACTCTCTTCTGAGAGGAGTTCAAGGCCTACCTTAGCCTCCATATTGTCGGACACTGTTGTGGAATATTTGTTTAACCAAGCAAAGATGTGTTACATTTGTTTATGCTGCAGAATATCTCTTTAACTGTATAAAGGTGTGTTAGTTTTATTTATGATGCATTTGTTTAATGATATAAGGTTGTGTGTTTACTTAGGTAAAGATGTGTTACATCTGTTTCACCTTGTCTGCCTAAGGCACCTGATTGGTCTAATGAAGAGCTGAATGACCAATAGCTGGGCAGAAGGGGGGAGACTGCCTGACAGAGCAAATGAATAGGAGCAGGAAACTAGGCTCAAGAGAAAGGAGGAACAAGAAAAGAAGAACGAGAAGGGGAGGAGGAGGAGGAGAAGAGAATGAGAGACACACCCAGGGCAAGAAGATGGACAGCCACCAGCCAGCCAAAGAGAAGCAAAAGGTAGATAAAGAGAAACCGGTTAATTCAGGTTGAAAGAGCTAGCCAGAAACCAGCCTAAGCTAGGCTGAGCATTCAAACTAGTAATGTCTCTGTGTCATGATTTGGGTGCTGGTTGGTGGCCAAAAGAAAAGCCTGGTCCAGGACACCCTCTCTAAGGTCCTTCCACTGTGATTTTTCAAGGCCTGATGGTGTCCTCCCAAAGAACCACAGGCACAGAGCCCTGGGAAAATCCCCTCTTGCTGGAAAACCCCACATGGAAGGAACAAAGGCATCTAAGAACCTGGGTAGGACCGAGGTGCCAGCGGGTGATGCACAGGCTGACCTGCTGGCGATGGCTTTATATGCCCATCATAGGGGGAGAATCCACCAAGACACCCCCCACCTCCACTCCCGGCAGCAAATACTCCAAGGGAGCTGACATGATGGTTTCTTTTCTTCTGAGAGCTTCTGGGGACAGTCACCAGCTTGTCTTAACAACGTCAAACGCTGGTTACTTCTCTTGAGTGTCTTTGTGGTTTCTTTTGGTCGCCCGAACAGAAATGAATTGTGATGTACAACAGGACTATGTTAGTGTCTCCCTGTAATTACACACACACACACACACACACACACACACACACACACACACTTTTCTGTTTATAATTCCACATCCCACCTCTTCGCCCTCAGCCTTATAATAAGCTCATTCATTCGTAATTCTACTTGGTTGCATGATGTTTTTCAAGTAAGCTAGTCAATGCGGCTGCCTCCCTGGGTAGAAAATAAAGAGCTTGTTTAGCAAGGGCCCTGGGAGGGAAAGCTAGCTGAGCTGGGAACACAACAGTAGGTTTTAAGCCCAGCTAACCCCCAAATGCTCGGGTCTTGAAGGCTCCAGCCTCTCGCCCTCTGGGCTGTTCGAGCCTCTGGCTGCCTAGCTTGGGGTGAAACAGGCGCTTCGTATGAAAACGAAAAACCAGTCTGGAAATAATTTCTCAAGCGAGGCGATTGTCTGGTTGCCTCATCAAACATCGCCTCATCAATTTTCTTACCAGTCCGACAGAGGAAGTGATAATGGTGGTGGTCATGGTGTGAATAGGAATGTGTGTTTGGAACCGCCGGGTGGGGCAGGTCGAAGGAGAGGGGAAGAGACACTCCCCGCCATCCTGGAAGACCCACGGGCGAGAGGACCCTACAGCGCGGTCATTTCCTACGACCTTTACCTAATGGGAGAGAGCTGACCCAGACTGAGGGAGTCCACAGATTTTTGTGCGCCCCAGGACTGCGAAGGAAGCACGGTTCGAATCTGCAGGGCAAGAGACGAGGACACCGGTGGAGAAGACCGCCTCTCCCCTGCCACCCAGACGATCCACGCCAGTCTCCCCTCCGGACTACACAGTCCAACACCGGCCTGTCCCCCGGGCACAGATTCTCCACCTCGGACGACTCTCAAGCCAGGGGCGGGCTCTGGGGCTAGATCACCAGGGTCCTTGGAGGCGTCTTTAAGGCTGCGGTCCCCGCCCTCATCGCCCGCCCGCCCTCCCTCCTCCCTCCGCGAGGATCCAGCGGCCAGGCTCGCAGAGCAGGTGCGGGCCCTCGTATGCGGCTGCCGGGGCCGCGGTGCTAGCGGCGCGGGGCGCTCGCCCGCCCCTTCTCCGGGCCACTCTCGGGCTCCGGCACTCGGGGACATGTCGGTGGTGACTGGCGGCGGCGAGGCGGCCGGCGGGGCCGGCGGCAGCGGCGCGCGCGTCTTCTTCCAGAGTCCCCGGGGTGGCACAGGCGGCAGCCCGGGATCCAGCAGCGGCTCGGGCTCCTCAAGGGAGGATTCGGCGCCGGTGGCCACGGTAGCCGCCGCTGGACAGGTGCAACAGCAGCAGCGACGCCACCAGCAGGGGAAAGTGACAGTGAAATATGACCGCAAGGAGCTTCGGAAACGGTTGGTGCTGGAGGAATGGATCGTGGAGCAGCTGGGTCAGCTATATGGCTGCGAGGTACTTGGGCACAGGCGGGGAGGGTCGGGATCTCTCTCGCCCCTCTGTGCCCACCCGGGAATTTTCCGTGACTCTGGCTCCCGGGTGTGAGCTGCCCCAGTTCTTGGAGACCGAACCCCAGAGCGTGTCTCCGCGCGATCTCTCTCCCCTGGGTGCCCTCTGGCGCTGGGGCGCAGCGCTTGGGACGCCTCTACTTGGGTTCAGCTGCCTAGTACCCGGAGAGCTTCGGGCTCCCTTGATGGCGTGAGAAGAGGGTTGGGTTTCAGGGCTTTCCTCCGAGTTCTCGAAGCTTGTCTGCACAGCCCTAACTACACCCAGTGGGACTCGGAGTGGCTCTCCTTGTCTGCCTGCGCCCTAGTAGACACTGGGGAAGGGAGAGCGCTTAAGGAGTGTTCTGATCGAGGTAGCCTGGATTTCCGTGGCGATGAAGACGAAAGACCTTAAGGTGCTCACAAAGAAGAGAGGGTCTGGGGATCTCAGAGGTCCCCCCCCATAGTTCCTTAAATTGTATGCCACAACCGCGAGATCAAACTCCCTCTTTTTCAGCCAGTTATTTCCCCAAGCTGCTCACGTTGAGTTCGGTTGCTTTGCCTTACCAAGCTTAGTTACCTCCAACGATGGGTGCCCAAGGAAAGTCCCCAAGAGTGCCTAGAAGGCGGCAGGATTCAAGATTCTCTCTCTCTCTCTCTCTCTCTCTCTCTCTCTCTCTCTCTCTCTCTCTCTCTCTCTCTCTCTCTCTCTCTCTCTCTCTCTCTCTCTCTCTCTCTCTCTCTCTCTCTCTCTCTCTCTCTCTCTCTCTCTCTCTCTCTCTCTCTCTCTCTCTCTCTCTCTCTCTCTCTCTCTCTCTCTCTCTCTCTCTCTTTCTCTCTCTCTCTCTCTCTCTCTCTCTCTCTCTCTCTCTCTCTCTTCTCTCTCTCTCTCTCTCTCTCTCTCTCTCTCTCTCTCTCTCTCTCTCTCTCTCTCTCTCTCTCTCTCTCTCTCTCTCTCTCTCTCTCTCTCTCTCTCGTGTGTGTGTGTGTGTGTAGGAAGAAAAATGACCAAGGCCAAATGATTTCCCAAGAGTCTTTAGCAACACGGATTCTCATTGAAGTGTTCTACTTCGGTTAGCCAAGTGGAGTCTGGGAGGAGTGAAAGTGTGGAGATTAATAATTAAGAGTGTGGTTTCCAGGTTAAAGCTAGATTTGTGTTCTTGTAACTGGTAGGCTTTGTTTTTTTTTTTTTGTTTTTGTTTTTTTGTTTTGCAAAAATGAAAGACAGATGTACTCACTGGCTTTACCAATCCATGTGGGTCATCCGGTTTTCACAGATTTTATGGCCCATTGTGAACACATATTTTCTTTAGCATTCATATTGCACAAGGCAACAGCATTCATTCTCTATGCTGCCTACTGACGAATGATTGAGATATAATGAAGTTTGACTGTATAAGCAATAAGCTTGTAAAAAAATTTATTTTTCTGGTCTAGTGCTCACAAAAAGCCCATTTAGTTGCTTAAGTAAGAATTGGCAATATTGGACATGATCATGGGTTTTTAAAATAGGAAGTTGGTGAAACTCTTTAAAGGAACAATGTGTTTGATTGAGACAGAATTCCTGTTGGATAAATGGATGTGTTCAGTCATGTCTCTTTAGAATTCAACTAAATTTCTTTTGCTTTCTGTTGGCTTTTATACTCCATTTTGGGCTTGGAGAAGACTTGAGTTACTAGAGGAACTGTTGTGAAATTAGTAATGCTTCAGTAGAGGCACCTTGGGAAACCAGGAAGACTAGCCTGACAAATGATACATTCTTCATCTTCTTTCGAATATGGTGGGTAGAAGTTTGAATGTTCACTGCACTGAGCATGTAGTTTAGACCCATATTTCAAAGAGTAAATAATGACTGTGAATGTTTTCCTTGTATCTCTTCCTCTGGAGCTTTAGGCCTTCAACCATGACAAACAACCAGGATGTTTATGAAATCATGTAAGATGTTCTGCATGCATTGCAGTGTGTCAGTATTTCCCCTCAAGAGGCTGGAGGGTTGGGAGCTGATGAGGGAGTGTTAGCAATTAGCGGGCAACCCTGCTAACTAATAAAGAAACACTTGGAGCGCTGCATGCCACGGATGGCCTTTTTCTGTCTATTTCTCCACTGAGGGGCTCGAGCTTCTCTCTTCTGAGTGTGTTTTCTTGCTCACCACTTCAAGTACCTCAGCCTTGGGTCATGAACGAGAAGGACCTACCTTGACTTGGAGCTTTGAACCTCATAAATATGAAGGCTAGGACGTATTCTTTTAATAGTTAAAACTGGAAATTGGCCATCTTTCAAATGTTTCCTGGCACAGCAAGCCAATTGGCTAAACTTGGAGCTTCATACCAGTGAGAGGGCCTGTGTTGTCTGCTGCGTTGGGTAGTAAAGAGCTCATATTTAACTTTAGAAAGACTTGTACCAGACAGATCAGCAGTTAGAAGAGTTGTCCTTTTTGAGGGTGGGAAATACTTTTCTCTTGCAGGGAACACATCATTTAAAGTTAGAAAGGAGTGAAGAAGAAGCACACAGGCCCGGCTGACGTTTTTAGAGCCTGCCAGCTTTGTTTGGAGAATAATGGAGTGGATGTCTGGAGAGCCCTTGTTCAGTCCTAGGTGCCGTTTTAACCACTTGGCATGCACCAATTCATTTCCTGTTCACAGCACTCCTGCGAAGAGAGGGCTCTTGCGGTCATTGTTTTTACAAATAAGGAACCAAACTCAGGGAAGGCTAAGAGGCTTGACCAAGGTCGCATAGGTGGGAGTGGCTTGGGGGAAGGGGCATGAACTTGGGCAGTGTGACTCTAAGACCACTATGTAACTACCGGGCCCACCTGCAACTCCGTACAGAACAAAGGACTCAGATAGGTTATCTCTTAATATTGGAAACTATGTTTTAAGCTAATAATTGTGACTATAGTTGAGTTAAAAAAATAAACGTATGATCTTGGAATACTGATAATCACGGTTAGCCAGTCAACTCAAAAAAATAGAGACTTGGAGGTTGAGGAGTTGGCTCACCTGCTCAGCAAACACAAAGACCTGGTTTCAGATCCCAGCACCCAGGTGAAAAGGTGGACGTGTCTCTACATGCCTGGAACACCAGCATTTGAGAGGTCAGTAATCAGAAGACCACTTCTAAAGAGCAGAAAGACCTCAAATGTGGCGAACGTTGACAGCATGTTCACGGCTAGGGAACTCTGCCATCCCAATGATTTGTGCTTAGCAACAGATTTTAATTTCCAAAGCAAACCAAACTGCAAAACTGGAAATGCAGATGTTATCTTGAAGCTGGGCAAGAGTGGAAGAAAATGACATGAAGTAAACGATCTTGCAACACTTGTCATGGTAGACAGCATGCCAGATTTCAGACGCTCTTAAACAGTTGGGAAGACAACGGAGATGCCTTAAAACAGAATTCCTTACATATGGGTGCAGATTTAACCTAACAGTTCTGTTACAATTAGATTCCCAGTTCAAAATTTCCCTGTGTAAGTGTTCCCCACAAGATGAAAAAGAAAAGCTATAAACGTATAACCAATCATTGCAGGATTTAATGGCCATATTTATCTGTAACTACTGTAAGACTCTTGGGCTCCACTCCTGCCAGGCCACTTCCCTGAAGCCTTTCTGGAACCAAATGGGCCTCCAAATGGTTTCAGCGTATACTCCATGTGACCAGAATTCCTTCATCAATTGTCAGGAAGCTTCCAGAGCAAGAACAAGCTCCTTCTAGATGGGCATGAGCCAGAGGCATGGGCATAGGAAGAAAAGGTGTGTACAAAGTCTAACAAAATTGCTCGGTGGGTAAAGGCACACACCATCAAGTCTGAGCCCCTAGAACCCACATGGTGGAAAGAAAGCCTAGCAGTACATGTGACCAAATGCCCAAGGGTGGGTACCAAAAGAGAAGACACCTGGCCCTGGAGAATATTCTCCCAAGTCCATTCCAGTTCAGAGTTCTGGAGCATGTGAGAACTCAAAATTCATACCTAGCTTTACAATTCATTATAAGAATGCAGTTATCAAAGCAGATGGATGGAGAGCATTTATAGATTTATAGTTACTATTAATGTGTAACTCTCACATGAGAGAGAGAGAGAGTGAGAGAGAGCGAGAGAGAGCGAGAGAGAGACAGAGAGAGAGAGAGACAGAGAGAGAGAGAGAGAGAGACAGAGAGAGAGAGAGAGAGAGAGTAGGGCCAAGGCGCCCAGTTGTCAGTGGATAAGTGGCAGGAGTCAGTTTTCTTCTTCTATCATGGATTCTGAGAATTGAACTCCGGGCAGTTAGGCTTGCACCACAAGTACTTTTACCCAGACATCGTGCTGGCCCCATCCTATATTTTTAAAAATGAAAGAAAAATCATTATGATCACACAGACATGTCAATTGTACAGATTAGCTTATTCCACTGTGACCTTTCCGTATTTGTGTAGATCATGTCTTATGGCTCTGTGTGGCCTTCAGGGCACAGCTGTTTCAGTGGGTTTGCTCTTATGTGCAGATGAGACCTGTCATTTTCAGCATAAACCCTTGCTTTGCGCACACCTGTCTCCTCACCAGCATCAAATTAGCCTGGCTGCATCGCTGGCATCTCAGCTGGAAGACAAGCTGCTGCTTAGAACTCAGACGGGGCAGGAGCTGAATCCTCATTCTCCAGGTATTTAGGAACAGACTTTACAACTTAATTTTTATCACCATAACTGCAGCATACAGAGAGTGCTAAGGTGTGGAGATGTACGTGACCTTCACCAGTATCGAAGAGATGAGCAGGTAGAGGGAGGCAGGAAGGCAGTTCACTCAATAGCTGGTGCTGGTTCAGACTCTGAGAATATGACCCCAGCTGGTTTATTTTAGGCATATTTAAGCTCAGATCAATTAGGTGAGAATTGTTCTGCTGATGATTAACTGAATCTTGCATGTACAACAAAGCATACATGCATCTCCTTGAGGAACAAAGTAAGCTAAATACAGTTCAGACATGGTTATGCTGA